AGATCTTGAATTTTGTTTAACTTCCCTCATTGATTCAAAATTTTATTTCTCATTATTTAAATCTTTTTATTATCATATGAAAATTTTAAAAATCAAGTGCAATAAATAAAGAAAATTTTAGTTTTTTATCTTTTAACTTACTGATAACTTAATTTATCAAGTATGATTTCACGCAACTCAATTCGTTTTTAGCCCAATCACCTCTTTTTTTTTTTAAACTTTTTATATTATTATTCTTATCATCAATAACTTATAATTAGATACGAGTAAAATCAAACCGTAACTAAATCCAATGTATTTTTTGATATTTTTGATTTGGTTATTTTGGTGTTTGATTTTTTTTTACTTTTCTTGAATTTCGCCGCATTGTTGTCGATTGAGTTAAGGGAAAAAGCTTGTTAACTAACAAGAAGCCTTAAACAACACCCTCTTAATTATTACTAGTGTTCTCAGTATTGCGATCTTTATGGAGAATCCTCGCAAGACCTGATGAAAGCCTTGCACTGCACTCAGTTCAGCAGCTTCTTTATTTCTTCGACCAACCTTTCAAATCTCACTTCCCGTGAGCATAAAAAAAATTCTAAAACAAGTAGCAGTAGGTTACATGAATGACACGAATTTCATAAAAAATAAGTTCTTTTAAGAGCTAATAAAAGGCATAAAAAATTTAAATATGAGGTAAATTCTACCGTCAGGATAATAATATAAATTAATTTGGATTGTATGATATATAATAGTTTTTTCTAAAAAAATAAGCGGGGTGCACCTTCAAGCTTGTAATTGAAATTCTAAAGATTTATTTATTTAAGAGGCTTAGAAATTGACCTCGATTCGCCTTGTTTTATTTACTAATGATTCATTTGAATTAGTGGTGAAAAAAAGTAATTTATTTCTAATCTGACTTTTAGAAAAGTAAGATTAGGTAAAAGTTAAATTGAATAAAGTGAATTGTATTTGGATCGGAGTTTAAAAAAGTTAGTTTATAAAAATGAGATTAGTTAAAAGTTGTTTGGATTATAATTGAGTAAAAGTAAGTTTGTTTGTAAAATTATCAAAATGGGTATGTGTTTTAATAAAGGGAGAATCCCAATTAAATCCAGCCGAAATACCTAAATTCAGATTTAGGCCTACACTTTTAGCAAATCCCTAATTAGGCCATGACATCTAATTAGGGATTTTTGAATGTTGTTAAATCACCAAAATGCCCCTCTTCAATTAAAAAGAAAACTTGATTAATATACCTCTCCCAAGTAATTCCTCATCTCTTATGATTTTTTTTTAGACCAAAAAACATATAAGTAATTTTACAATGTTTGAAATTTGTATATATAACTTATACTATTAAAAATATTTTAATAAAACATGTTAAATTACAAAAATAATTAAAATTATAAATATTTTTTATTTTCAGTTCTTGTAATTTACGTTAGTTTTATTTATTTAAACAATATTGGATCGAACTGAAAACGTAAATGATTACGATTTAATATTAAATTTTTATTATAATTAAAATATTTTAAAATTTTAAAATAAATATTTACAACCTGAAAAGAAAAAAATATTAAAAATATTTATTTAAAGATTACATATATTATAATTTGAAATGTTTTATGAAAATATTTTGAAGATTTTAGTTATATTACAAAATTTCAAACACTAAAAAATTATTTGTATTTTTTTGTCTAAATATTAATAATAAGAGATGATGAACCACTTTAGAGGGATAAAATAATCAATTTTCATTTTTAACTAAAGAGGGGCATTATAGTTACTTAACAATATTCAACAATTCCTAATTAGGTCTTATGTCCTAATAAAGAATTTGTTAAAAGTGTAGGTCTCAATTTAATTTTAAGTATTTCAGCAGGATTTAATTAGGATTTTCCCTTTAATAAATAATGAAACATGATTGAAAAAATAGGGATAATTAATCTGCAAGTCCTTATAGTTTCAACCAATTTTGAATCAGGTCCCTATAATTTTTTTCTTTTTATCAGATCCTTATACTTTCACCTGTTTTTAATTAGGTCCTTGCATTTATTTTTCTTTTTATCAAGTCCTTATAAGATCACCTTATTTTTAAGTAAGTCCTTGAATTTTTTATTCTTTATTTTATAAATTCTAATAGTACTATTTTATAAACATAAAATAGTATATATTATGTAATATTAGTTTATAAACAATAATATTCTAAAAATAATGAATTCTTATAATAATTTTATTTTTTTAGCAAAAAAAATTAATTGTTTTAAAAAAAATTTCCTTAATTAATTAATTATATTACTTATCTTTTATTATATAATTATTAATATTTTATATTTCAGTACTAATTTATTTAATTAAGTTCATATTTAATTAATAAATAAAAATTAAAACTAGATGAACCTAATTAAAATTTTAGTGAAATTATAAGGACTTAATAAAAAGAAAAATAAATGCGAGGACCTAATTAAAAATAGATGAAAGTATAAGGACCTGATAAAAAGAAAAAAAACTATAAGGACCTAATTCAAAATTGGTTAAAACTATAAGGACTTCCAGATTAATTAACCCGAAAAAATAATTTTACATAAAACAATAAATTTAAATTAATTTAATATGAAGAAGTGAAATTTAGTGAGTGAATTAAATTTTAAAATTTTAAAAAAAATCATAAAAATGTTTTAAATATAAAGTGAAACATGATTAAAAAAAATGAATTTACAGAAATATTTTATGAGGGAATAATATGGTAGAAGGAAACGAGAGCTCCTAGTCGAAAAAAACGAAGAAAGGAATATGAGAGAATAATAAGGCTGAAGTGAGAGAAAAATTAACGAGAGGAATAAGTTCTGACACACAACAACGGTTCTTAAGCCAATAAGCTATTAAAAAAGAAGCTCCTTCTTCCAGTTTCAAGGAAACGCACGATACAATGAGCTTATTAAAGGTAAGTTTAGTTAGGTTTTTTTTTTGGTTGCCCACCCAATTCATCGGAGCTTTGTTCCGACTACATCTGGATCTGACTCGCGTCGCGCACCTAGCTATGGTGGGTGAATCTCCCAACGGGGATTTTTGTATACGTTGAGGCTTAAACTCGAGACCTCGCTTAAGCGGTATCAAACCGTTTACCACTTGGACTAACCCCTGTTGGTAAGTTTAGTTAGGTTTAAGCCTTCCCAAATTGTACTCTATTTCTTAATCGGGCTTCTGCTCAAAACAAGTAACTTCTGGCCCAAATTAAACCCTCCCAAACAGGTACTAAATAAGTTAAACCAAACTCAAAATAAGCCATGGCATAAGTTTCTGACAAGCTTCTAGCTTATTTTCACCTCTACTCCCCTCCCACCAAACACTTCCTACAAGAGACAAGCCAATTAAATTTAAAACTACCTAGGAAGCACCGTGATACATTTTCACTGGCCTCCTAAATATCACTTACTCCCGTTTTATTTATAAATTTCAAAATTTTTTAAAAAGTGTGTTTTATTTTAATACACTTTTTTTAATTTTACCCTCAATTATTCTCTCTCATTTATCATAATATCTCTTATCATATTTTTTCATGCATTCTCTTTCATCTTTTTTCTCGATTACTCCCTCCCGTCTTATCTATAAGTTTTACTTTTGGAGATAGGTTTGGTTCAAAATATAAGTTTTATTTTTGAGTTTGTGTGAGTATTTATTACTTTTTCTTTTTTACTTTACCTTTAGTTGATTGTATTTAGTACTCTCTTTCATTAATATTACCCCATATATTCTCTTTTATCATTTTTTTATTTATTGCCTCTCATTTACTGTCTTAATAAATAAGGAAAAATTTTAAAAAAATTTTCTAACCTATTTATTACTTTTAACTAATTATTTGTTATTTATGAATTAGTTATTAAAGTTTAAATCATAAGCTCATCATACCAATTCATCAAACTTTGGCCAATGATACTAACCGAAAATAGAGACATGAATATCTTACCTTATTACTTTACTTAACCAAGTATATATACATGATCAATACATAACAGAAAGAAATAGAAATTAGTTTCTAATTTAATAATAGATTAATTCCCTAACACCCCCGGGAAGCTGGAGCATGGATGTTTTGCATGCCCAGCTTGGATATGAGTTCATAGAATCTGGCTGGATGTAGAGGCTTGGTGAAAACATCAGCTAGTTGATTTGCTGTCCGAACTGGAAGTTGATGAATAATCTTTGCTTGTAGCTTTTCTCCATGACATTTAATCATATCTCATACGTGTAGAAAATGTTTTTTTAGGGGGTGTTTGGTAAATCCAAGCAACACTTGAGTGCTCCGTGCATACTTACTGTAAATTATTTTCGGACCCCTTAACTAATCGGAGACAATTGATTAATTTAAGTAAATTAAAAAAATTAGTTAAATTAGTTAATTATAATAAATATGTATTGTCTTCTCTAAAATATCCTTATTAATCAAGTATCATCTGATAAAATATTTAATATATACAACTACTACAAAAAAGATAAATATAAAAGACAAAGTAGATTAAGATCATATATTTATGATCAAATTAAAAGTCAAACAAATTCTTATATTTTATACTATCTTTGGTCCTTAATGTAAGAATTAATTGACTAACTTGAGTAGATTAAGAAAATTAGTTAAGTTAGTCATTTGTAATACTACATTCAGTCTATAAATAAGGTCTTATAATTAGGATTAGAGGTAGTAAATAGGTATTATCGTTCCTAAAATATCTTGTTAATCAAATGTATTGGTTAAAACTATCATTATTATAAAGATTGTCTTAAAAAAATATGAGAGATAAAATAAATTTAAATCTTATATTAAACATTAAAATAAAAATAAAATAAGCTTCTATATTAAAAAGCGAAGGTAGTATTGAGGAATGAGGATAGGAAGTGCAATCACAGATTTTTTTTTTTTGGGGGAAAAAGACGGCATCAGAATTTTTGAAGTATCGTCGTCTGGCCTACCTGTCGTCTTCATTGGCGCTCCTGTTGATTCCAGAATAATGGATTCAAAATAAGATGAGACCACGTCAAATTGAAACGTAAGGCTTTTGAAGATGAGAATAATGGATTCAAAATAAGATGAGACAACGTCAAATTGAAACGTAAGGTGTTTGAAGATGAGGTTGAACCGCTGAACTAGTTTTTTGTTTTGGTCTTTTTAGCCTTTTTCAGATTGCAATTTGCTCGATTTCGCAGCACACGTGAAGTAGGTTGGACTTGGAACGATTTTGGAATTGGCTAGCTCAACACTCAACAGACTGAGGAAGCAGAAGCAGCGGAGGGAAGAAGATGCCGCCGGCAACCTTGAAGCTCCCTATTATAGATCTCTCCTCACCTGATCGTTTCTCCACCGCCAAATTGATCCGCCAGGTCCTTCCTCCTTATCTTTTATTTGCTCTCTTTTTTATTCATCCGCTTCTCTGGTTTTCCCCTTCGAGACCTTGTGTCTGCTTTGCGTTGTACTGAAAAATGAGTCCACTCTTTATTTTTCATAAAGATTGTGTGGCTTGCTATGAATTTTTATATTGATACGTTGATACATGTGTGGTTTTGTTGCTGGAGTTTGTCGGTCATGGTGCCTTTAGTGCATCAAAGAGATTTTAAGGACCACTGGCTACTCCAAAGTCTACCTAGATTCAATTTAGTCTCTGACATTGTATATTTAACTATTTGGTCTCGACTTTAAAATTACTCGATTGCATTATTTTAAGGTACAACTTGTTAGTAAGCTCGTACATTTGGCTTATTTGGATTTTGATAAGCAGTGAGGTAAAATATTTTAGTATTAATCGTGCAGGTTTTGAATTTAGAAATCAAATTGTTGAGAATTGCGATGTGTAGGCTTGTAGGACGAAAAATTACATTTCCTCTTTCTAAGTTTATATTGTGTCCAATTAAATGTCGCAAAAGAAATCGACTTTAAAGCTTGTCAACTTACTACCGCAGTGGACTTAACGTTGTTTAGCATTAAATTTGAATTAAATCTAAGCTATTGTGTGGTTCTATTGTAGAGAATTAGTAAAGTCGATAACTGTTAAGTTCTTCTTACGATTGCCATATGCTTATTTTCAATTTAAAATGGCATGATTACTTGGCCATCAAACTTCGATGACTTAATCTTTCTTTGACAGATTTTTCATGTTTCAATGGCATGGTCAGTAGAATAATCTTTGGTTACTATGCTAAGTTGCGATGCACTAAAATCCCGGCATTTTCTTTTTTTAGAGCTCTCTAGTTCTCTAATTTTAAAAACCAAGAACCTTACGAAAACAACAAATGTTCTATACTTCGCTACATGTTTGTGGACTAAATGAATTCAGCTGCACATGGTCATTAGACTATTTTTAAAATTTACACCAACGGAAGCATACTCATAGTAGTTGTTGGAACTGTGTTACAGGCATGCACTGAGTACGGGTTTTTCTACCTAGTGAACCACGGGGTGGAGAAAGAGTTGCTTCAGAAAGTGTTTGATCAGAGTAGAAAGTTCTTCTTACTTCCAGTGGAAGAGAAAATGAAATATCCCCGCAAGGAACACAGAGGTTATACACCTCTATATGCTGAGAAACTGGATGCAACTTCAGGCTCCAAAGGTAACTTCTGATTTTGATTAGTCTCAGGCAGTTTTTTAGGTTTATGGTTTAATCTTAAGCCACTGTGGGGATAGTCCTACAAGTCCATTTAGGGAACTAAGGTTATAGTATATGACTATAGGTGGAATCATTTTTCCCAGGCGGGCCTTTTTTATTAGACTTAAATATGAGCCTCTGGTTGGCCTCAACTTCTTTTTTTTTTAGCTCTTAATGTAAAACGCTAGTGCAAGTCTCGTGTGTTGCATGGAGTTGGAGAAATGAGTTATATTGTTCATGACTCGTGAATAGTATGGCTTGTTAGTTTTACATTATACATAGATATGTAAATTGGTTGAGGCGACTGATATAGGGTCAGTGTTGAAAGCTGTCTAAGTCCTTTCAAATTCTTCTTTTCATGGGAAAAGATGCATAATGTTGATCATTATCAACTATGCGATGATCAGGTGATTCAAAAGAGAGCTTCTACATTGGTCCTTTAGCAGATCATGCAAGTATTAACCTGAATCAATGGCCTTCAGAAGGTATGCCTATACTATTTCATACTATTCCCGATCTTTAATATAAAAGCTAGTTGATATTAAATCTGGCCCTAAATATAAGACCCTAATCTATTTTATCTCTTATATTTATCCATTTTTCCCAAGATAGTCCTTGTAGTAATTACACATGTTAAATGTTTCATTTTTTACAAATAAATAATTTAACTAATTTCCTTAATCTATTTATATTAGTCAACTAACTCTTATATTAAGGACTAGAGGTAGTATTTGTTTTGTAAAGTATTTAAAATCTGTTAGTGTTTACTCAATAATGGTCAGACATTTTGATTCGTGCATGAACTTTATTTGACGTATGTATCTGGCAAGGAACCTCCAGAAGTACTTGAAAATTGGAGACCTACAATGGAATCCCTATACTGGAAACTTCTGTAAGTTCCTTGGTATATCTTTCTGTGCTATCAATTATGTAGGATGATTGCTTACTACAAAACTTCACCCAGCAGTAATAAAAAGGCCAACATTGTTCTTTTTCTTTGAATATGTACTTCTGTTCTTCGCTCTGTGACCAGGAAATTCAATTTCTCTTTAAATCTCACTATTTCTTATACAGTACGGTTTGGCTGGGTATTTATTGGGAACTTACACTTTGATATTTTGTTTTATGCGTGTGATAATTATATATCCTTGGGGAGAGGGTGGCTGAGCATTCGGATACATGATTCTTTTATTCTTTCTCTTTCTAATGTGAAGCTCAAAATTTAAATATGCTTGTTTTCTTTCAAAGTGTGGCTGGAAGAGAGTTGTTATCTTTAATGGCCCAGTCCTTGAATCTGGATGAAGATTTCTTCGAGAAAATTGGGGCCCTAAGCAAACCAGCAGCTTTTCTTCGCCTTTTGCATTATCCAGGTTTAGTAGCACTAATTGACTCCTTTCAATCTTCTTAATTAACATATTGCAGCCCCCATTTTTCTATGTGCTTCAAATATTATATGTCATTCTGTTTTATTTATTCCTTTCTGGAGAACCCCTGTAATATGACAGTCAACTTATCTTCTTTGGTTACAGTAGTTGATTTGAATGCTGTGAAGTATGAACTATACAGCAAATGAGTGTGCTCTGTAGCTTAAATGCCTATTTGAAACTTCTTGTGCATAGTGGATTAAGTTCTGGTATATTTGTATCGTGTTGGATTATTTTATTCATACGGACACTTTGCAAACTAGCTACGTGAGTGGGTATAAAAACTGCAACTTTTGTAGGAATTTGATGATAACTTGGTAATATAGTGTTAGAGGTAGACAGAGAGAGAAGAGGGAAAATAGAGTAAACAGTAAAAATGTATTCACTAGACACCCATTACAAACCTCAAGACTCCTATTTATAGACTTAATATGACCCCAAATTACCCAAACTACCCCTTTTATCCCTAATTCCCATGTATCATATAGGATACTAAGTCCCGTATTAAGGAGGATGGGATGTTCGATGAAAATTTAAGTGGATTGGTTCTTCCATTTCAACAGCTAGCTTTTAGGGTAGGGGTCTTCCTCCTACTTAGGTACCTGTCAGGATCAAACTTGATGTTTAAAATACCTACCAAAAGACGGAGTTAGTGGTTAATAGCCTAGTGTTTGATATGCTATTAACAAATTCTGTCTGTTTCATCAATTATCTGTTGGAGGGCCAAGGGCCAAGTGTTTTCTTAATGTGACCATCCAAGAACAAAACCTTTTTCCTGTTGATGATTTGCCTGCCAACTCTATTAGGTGAAGTGGTGCCCGATGAAGAGATATGTGGTGCCTCAGCTCACTCAGATTACGGTATGGTAACTCTGTTGGTGACAGATGGTGTGCAAGGACTTCAGGTTCCCATCTTCTTTTGATAATTCTTTGTCACACTAGTCTTTACTTGCTTCACGAGTTTACAGTCTTGTATTAAAGGCTTTTAATCGAAGATTTCGTTCTTAAAGATTTGCAAGGAAAAGTTCAAGCAACCACAATTCTGGGAGGATGTGCCTCACATCGAGGGGTGAGTCCATGACCAGGAAACTTTTATGCAGGAAATATCACTAGTTTTGAGATTTTAAAGCTGACTAGAGCCACTTTACATTCAAATAAATGAAACTAACTATTATCTGGATTGTCATTTATTTATAAAAGCATGAAAATGGTTATATTATCTGCATTGCCCTCCCAGTGTTAGGTGTTTTCAGTTTCTATCTTCAGGGCCTTTATTGTGAACATTGGGGACATGATGGAGAGGTGGACTAATTGTTTGTACCGGTAATCCTTCATTATATCAACTTAGAAAGCCTTTTCTTTTGTCTCTTTTACCATAAGTTAGTAAACTTCTTTGTTGCTAGCACCTGTTTACTTACTACTCAATGTCTCAGTGCAAATATAAGCCATTCTCAACTTATGTCAATATTATTCTTGTAGGTCAACATTGCATAGGGTTATGCCAGCTGGAAAGGAGCGCTATTCCGTAATCACTATACTACTTCCTTAATGGCTTTATTTTTTCACTGTTGTTGCTTTATCTTTTTGGAAGATGACTCATGAGTGTCTTTTAATTTGTTCCAAGGGTAGAAAAATCAATAAGTGAGAGAAAATGCGAATATTCTCATTCAACTTTAGGCAGTGCGAAGCCATGAGATGCTACCTCAGACTTCTTTGTCATTTGTCATTTGGCGTATTTCCAGTTTTTGGTCTATGTTGTTAACTCGGCAATTAAGAAAACATTCTTAAATGTTCTAATAAACTTTTTTGGTTGAGCGGGTTATTCTGATGCAGACACTTGCAAATGAGGGAGCATCCCCTTCATAAAGTTGTTAGGGCAGAAAACTTTCTTGTAGAGATCTTAGATGACAATGGTTCATTCTGGGACCTGTCATAGTGAAAAACTGGGTAACGTATAAAGTTTCTGCTTTTTATTTTTTGGCTGAAAAAGGTACCACTCTGTTATGACATTGACGTACCTTTCCCGTATGAAAGATTTTTAATCTCGAATGATTTTGCGTGGTAACTATTGAACGAGTCCGGTCAAAAAGGTTAAAATATTAAATATGTTTTATCCACCAATCTCTGTAATCATTACTCATAATACCAAGGATTGTTTTACCTTTTTGGAGGGCTTTAGGTTACAGTTTGTCCTCTAAAGTGGAAGAAGGAATACCTTTTTTGGAGGGCAAAGTGGATTTTTTTTTTTTTTGGGTCCAGATGCTATGTTGATGAGGTTCTCCTAATTAGCTTGATGTGGTGTGATTAGTTTCTTGAGAAACCTGGTGTGAATACAGGTGGCTTTCTTTCTAGACCCAAATCCAGACTGCGTGGTGGAATGCCTTGAAAGCTGCTGCAGTGAATCATCGCCCCCCAGGTTAGAATAAGTATATTGTTTTCATTTTTTTTAAAACCAACATTTAAAAGGGACTTTTTCTACCAACTATAGTTGGGTTAAATGAAAGAAACTTGATTCCTTTTGAATAAGGCCAAGAGTTTGGATCGAACCCTGTAAAACTTTTTTTTGGGGGGGGGGGGGGTCATATTGAGTTCCTAAACTGAACAGTGTGATTCCCAAATCTAATTAGATAATACCCGATTCTAATAGTTATACTTACTCCAGTCCTAAATATAAGAACTAGCTGACTAATTTAAAAAGATCAAGAAAATAAGTTAAGTTAGTTATTTGTAATAATATGTGTTATCTTTCCTAAAATATCCTTGCTAATCAAGTGTATTGGTTATAACTACCATTATAAGAAGGACTACCCTAAAGAAAAAAAATACACAAATATGAAAGACAAAGTAGATTGGGGTTTTATATTTAGAACCAAAATAAAAATCAAACGAGATCTTATATTAAGAACTGGAAATAGTATATAAAGAAAGGGATAGTTTTCATGAACAAATCAGATTAGGCATGTTCTTGTGCTTTTCGTTGTTTTTGGATTTGTGTTACTATATGCCTTTGAAATGTTAGTTTAGAGGATAGAAACCACAAAGCTAATCAATCTTTGCTAATGCTGTTGAACGCAGATTTCCTCCAATCCGCAGTGGGGACTACTTGCAGGAGCGCTTCAGGCTCACCTATGGATCATAGCTTTCTAAAATTCTAAGAGCTGGGCAGCTGCAAATTACGAAAATGCGAAGTCAAGGTCACATGGAGACTTGACGTTATTGTGTATACATGGAAACATCAATATTTCCCTATTATTTTTTTGGCTATGTATAAGTAATTCTATTTGAGGTATTGTCGGATTCTAAATGTAAGCACCTCTTTAGTGGGAATTTGAACATTAACTTGTTATGTTGTGAGAGATTAATCATATCTATTAAACTTAGCCCTGTTAGTATTTTCCTGTTATTTTAGCTATACAAAATTCATATCATCAAAGCAACCGAAACTCAACAAAAAACAGTTTTTTTTTTCCTTCCAGCATACCCCAAACACTAATAAACAAAAGTAACAGCAAAACGAGACATCAAACTTCCTAAAACATAAAGACTAAAGAAAAACTAAAGATAACACCCAGCAAATTAAAATTGCATGTCATGTCACACCAAGCCAAAAATGAATGTCATGATCAGCCTGAATCCCATGCCCGCCAAAATAAATGTTCTTCTCCTAGCTTTAACTTACCCTATCTTTTTAAAACTACCCATCATCTCAATCGTTATCTCCATCACGATTATTCAATAATATCCGTACTAAAGGAATTATTGATAAAATTACAAAAAATTATTCATAAGTTTCAAGTAAGAAAATTAAATATAAATAGGTCTTCTGAATTTCATTTAATCCCAAAAATTTAACATTTACAAATCAGATTTTCATATTTACAAGTTCAATTGTATCATTTACAAGGCAAGCCTATAAATATTACTATCTCCGGTCCTTAATATAAGATCTTATTTACTTTTATTTTGATCTTAAATATAAGATCCCAATCCACTTTGTCTCTCATATTTATTCATTTTTTCTCAAAATAATCCTTCTAACAATGTAGTTATAGCCAATACATTTAATTAGCAAGGATATTTTAAGAAAAAACATATATTATTACAAATAACTAACTTAACTTCTTTCCTTAGTCTCCTCAAATTAGTTAACTAGCTCTTATAATTAGGACCGGAGGTAGTATATCCCTTAAGGACTTATTAGTAACAACTAATAAATGAAATTTAAGGAACCCGATGTTTGTATTTAATTTTCTTATATATTTACGGGGAAATAGGAAAAAATTCATGAATACATATAAATTATATGCAATGCAACTCACCTATTGGCAAAACACAAGGCTCACATCTAGTCCATGAATAGGATATAAAAGGAATTCAACCTGATATTATAATTTGGCGAGGGCGAGCATTGAATTTGTGGAAAGCTTTATGGATTAATCCAAAGTGGGGATTTTTGGGATAAAGGAGAATGAGAATAAATAAGCAATGTGATGGATGATGATAAAAGATGAAGAGGCCAATAGGATAGAACGTGGTGTATATATGACCCTTTTGTGCCTTTCTCTACAACCAAACAATATGGCCATCCATTATATATATATATATATATATATATATATATATATATATAATACATATATGATCTTATTCGTTAAGAATAATAGAATATGACCAATCCTCCTCTTTCAAGTTCTTCCACGTCCACCGTCCCCTGCCAAGACTATTCCCATTTCAACTAGAATCTTTCGCATCAAAATGCCGAACTTTTTTTACACTTTTTTTTATTTGTATTGAATTTTAAAATAAAATTTGATACGTTTTTGTTGTTAAATGTTTTAATTAAATATAAGAAACGTCTGTGTTGCTCGTTATGTTCTAAATATAAGAATATAAGAGTTAGATAACTAATTTATAGATATTAAAAAATTAATTATAAAAAAATGTAGGTCAGTTTCTAAAATACTTATTGTAAAGAATGTATATGTCGGTTCTCTAAAATATGTTTTAATTATTTTCATTAAAAATTACTCCTTTGATAAAAAAGCCTTAACATGTACAATCAATAAAAAGAGTTTGTGAAAAAAATTTTTGAGAAATAAAATAGATTGAGATTTTCCATCTAAAATCAAAGCAAACCCTTTTACTAGCTCTTACATTTATTAAGATCCACATCTTTAGAGTACGGGATGCATCATATAAAAGATCAAAGTGTTGGATACATCTAAGAAATAAAATCATAGTGCTGGATGCTCCTTTACTCTTAAAAATAACAACTATATAATTCAATTTCAAAAAGGAGAAATCTAAAAAAAAAATACCTTTAAAATTTTAAAATTTCAAATCATGAATGACTACAAAAATATATTGTCATTTACTTTTCAAATGTTGTCAATTGTTATTAAAGTGCAATAAACAAGACTGATTTGAAATTTTGAAATTTAAAGGTTTTTTTTTAGGATTTTCCCATTTAAAAAATAGTATGCTTATTCATGAAAGTTACAAAATTGACATAAACATGATGTATTTTTAATAATTTTAGCTGACAAATTTATTAAAATATTGATGGATAGATAGCATATTCCTACCTCTATCACAACCTCCTTTCTTGCCCTTCAAGTTTAATCTTATCTTGTTCCGAAAATTGGGAAGGAAAAAAAGGTTTGGTTCAATCGTTTTCTTCTTTTTGGTTTAAAAAGTTTTTTTATTCTTTCCTTTTAATTACATTATTCCTACCCAATTTCCTTCTTTCGCAAGGAACTTGAACTAAAATATTAATAAATTTTTTGTGTAAAAAAATCGTTCGGATGTATTGAAAATAAATTAAAATTTCCTCAATCAAATAAAACAAAAGGCTAATAAAAAGATACATGTTTATGTTAACCACTTTGAATGGATTTTACACTTATTAAGATAAAAAATTTTCAAATTAATTTGTTTTATGAAGCCCAAATTCACACTTGCGACTCTAGTTAATAAAAACATCCTTTAAAACTTTGTGAAATCAAGTCAACTGGAATTATTTGATTAAAAAAAAGTATACGATTTTATTTTATGGGATTTCATATATTATTTTCAATGTTTTCAATGAATCACATTTTTTCTGGAAAAAAAATATTGATCTTCTAAAACATAAATCTTTGATTTAGTCAACCTCTTGGCACTTGCCCCTTTTCTTTCGCATTGACTTTGAGCTAAGAGATGAAATAAAATGCATCTAAATATTGTAACAAAGAAATGTATATAAATATGAACCCTTCAGATTTCATTAAATAGATATTCAAACTTGCTGGTCAAAAAAAAAAAAAAGAAATTCAAACCCTACAGATAAGTATTTGTCGTTTTTTTTTAAATTTTTTTAACTGCAGCATTTGTTTGTAATAGCATTCAAGTGATGTATAAGTTTTAGGGCCTATTTGGTTTGAGGGGAGGGTGGGAGAGAGGAGGGTGGGTTCATCTTCACCTTGTTTGGTTTGATTAAAAAAGAAAGGAGGGAGGGATATTTAATGATCCCTTATTTGGTTTAAGAAGGAGAGGGGGAAATAGTAATAATTAATTTACTATTTACCCTTACATATAATTTATATTTTATTGATATATTATATAAATTAATTTACATCTTAATTTAAATCATATAATTTAATAAAAATTCAGTCTTATCATGTTAATATGTGCATTAAAAAATTGGTACAGTCTTTTTTAATTCTAATTAATATAATAATATATTTGAAATAATTAAATTAACAAATTCTATATGCTCTAAAAAAATTGAAATTTATTCTCTTTAAGCTGTGGCTTTTTTCAACTTTAAAATATATTTCATAAATAATATATTTATAAAAAACAATTATTTTATAATATTATAATTTTTATTTAAATAAGTTTTTTATTTTTATAATAATTTATAATAATTTTTATTATAATATATTTTTTAATTATAATATTTTTATTTTTTATTTTTACTTAGGAGAATATATTTTTATTTAAAATAAATATTATAATAACATATTTTATGGGTGGTTGTGGAATATTAAAAAAATCATAAAGGCATAACAGTCCAAAAATTTAGCTCTTCTCCAAAAACCCTCAATTTGAAGGGGAGCTAAAATGGGAGGAGGGAGGGGAGGAGGGAACATTTTGGCTTTCCTTCTCTCCAAAATTTTTAACCAAATGAGGGGAGGGGCTCCCCTCCCCTCCCCTCCAACCAAACACACCCTTAATAGAGGGGAACGAACTCAAATGATGTTGTGATTATTTTTTTAATGTTTAGACTTTAGAGTGATTAAGGCGCGTTTAAAATAACTTATAAATAATTTTTTAATATAATTTATAACATATGAAATACTACCTCCGGTTTTAATATAAGACCCCATTTGAATTTTAGTTTGATCCTAATTATAAGACTCCAATCTATTTTGTCTCTCATATTTATGCATTTTTTTCCAAGATAATCCTTCTAATAATAATAGTTCTAGCCAATACACTTAATTAGTAAGGATATTTTAGAAATGACAACACTTATTTATTACAAATAACTAACCTAACTTACTTTCTTAATCTCTTTAAATTAATTAACTGGGTCTTATAATTAGGACCGGAGGTAGTATGTGAGTAAGTTTTATCACACCCTGTATTTAAAAAAATCCTAATCAATCTTAGTTTTGTCATTTGCCACCGTCCATCCGTACTTATCCACATGGACATGGATAAAGTCATAATTAGATAATGGATCTTAATCATTAGCTCACAATCTTTTTAAACCTACCCAGCACTCATAATTTGCTTATTAATTATACATTGTTCTTTCTGATTTAAAATATAAAATCTAGATAATTAATTTATAAAAATTAAGAAAATTAGATTAAATTAGTTATTTATAAAAAATTTGTCCTAATTCTCTTAAAATAACTCTTTTAATTATTTATACTAGAATCTACTTTATTAATAAAAGACTCCTTTATATATGTAAAGTTTAGGAAAAAATTATAAATTTAGGAAATAAAATGAATTGATATACCTAGATTAAGTTCTTTGTATTCGTTTTATAAATTCTCCAATTACACATTGTCATGTATTTTGTTTTTAAAATATTAATCATCTGGTTCTTAATATAAGATTTAATTAATTAATTTGAATAGTATGTTAGTTAAATTAGTTAATATGATACTCCTTTAGTCCTATTTATAGGGCAAAAGATATTTTTTGATCTTATTTATAAGGTACTGAGAGAAATTTTTTAGATGAATGTACAATTATACCCTTCATTTATTATTGTGTTGACTTTATTTATGAGTTATAATGTATATTAAATAGGGATAAAATTGAAAGTTTTTGAATTTTAAATGAGAGTTAATGAAGTTTTAAGGTTTTTATCAGTTTGTGTGAAACATGTTAGAAGTAACTTATAAATAGAACCGGATGAGTATATTTTTTCTAAAATACCCTAGGTATATTTCTTAATTCTCTCTCTTGTTGGGGAAATATCAATAGGTTTCTTTAGAAAAAATAAATAAACATGTAAAATAAGTTTTGTGTATGTGATCTATATCAATTTCTTAATTAGATCCTATATTCGGAAGAGTAGCATTTTTTTGCCACCATATTATCATTAAATTATAAATTCACATGAAAAAATAGGATATATGACCATGTATGATTAGAGAACTCGACATAAGAGATACAAATAAATTGATATAAGTATTTTTTTAATTAGATATTTTATATTTAGGATCAAAACAAGTATTTTTATTAATTTTTATATTTAGGACTAGAGGAGGTATATATTTCCTTTTTCTTTAAATTGATATTTAAAAACCAATCCAGATAATACCCGTAGTGCTACGAACAAAATTAGTTTGTGGAATTTTTCAAGTGGTACACTGCTAACACATGAGCTCAAATTTTCAATGGTTAATATGTGAACCAACACTTGCAAAGGAGATCGCTTGCAAGATTCTAAAGTAAGTCACTAAGTTGTACTGTTGATAGTCGACAGGACATATAATTTTTGCCGATAAGAACTTAAGAAATAGTCCACTTACCAATGATTCAGTTTATAACTTATAAGGTAATAAATTTGAATCTTGTTACTGATATAAAGATTTTATTGGTAGGCAATTTATGAGCACTTTATGAATTTAGAGACATATTCTAACTCTAATAAGTTTTTGGAACCCAACTCACTTAAATTTTTTCTCACCGAAAAATAATTTTTTTTTAATTCTATATGTATTGATACATATATAATATAATTTCAAAGTTTAAATGAAATAAGTAACCTATTAAGTAGGAAGCAAATTAGGTGAGTTGGTTTTTTAAGACTTACAAAGAGGTTTAATTGTTCAGCGAGTGTTTTAAAAATATTGATTGGTACTAACTAGCCACTAAAAAAAAAAACCCTCAAAATTGAACATATTGGTTCAAATGAGCTATTTTAAATCTCATATACTAACTGAATTTGAAACAATTTTCATTGGATAAATACTTTGAATTTTTTTATTTAGAAAAAGAAATACACACACATAATTTACTGGTTGGTTGGCATCCAAAAATTATAAAATCAATATTCAGTATATTCATTAATATATGTAAAAAATAAAAGCCTACAAAAAATATATGTAATAAAAAGTTCAAGGAAAGTTTATTACTGCGATCCACTGTGCATTTGTGCTCATACAGGATGCAAGGAAAGAAAACACAAGTATGGAATTTGCAAAAATTGTTTCTCTCTTGTTTTTTTTTTTTAAAGCTTTTATGTAACTTAGTAATCTAGATATTATGCATTACACGAAATCTAAAAATGAACTATATTATTCATTACTCGTAGATAAAATTTCTTGATGCAGTTTTTCATATTAGACATAATTTTTCTATATAATCATATAATTTTTAAGCATATTAAATTCAATAAAATTAGTCTAACACACCCATCTTGGCCAAAAAAATTAATCAATTTGATTAACACCCCATTCAAATTGCCACCTCTACTCTTTGTTAATGATATACGAATTTTTTAAATAGCCTCTCTCGTTAATTATTTATTATAGAGATAAAAATTAATAGATAATAAAATACTACCTGATCTTTTGTATAAGAGTTAGTGGATTGTTATATTAGGTTTTAGATAATCTCAATCTATTTTGTCTCTTATCTTTCCTCAAAATATCTTTATTGATTGTAAGAGATTTTCAATAATTTTAATCATCAAAGGCGCATGATTAAAAGGGTAATTTAAAAAAATTGACATAAATTTGTGATAAATAATTAATTTAACTAATTTTTTAATATATCTAAATTAATTATTTAGTTCTTATACTAATAACTCAATATAGTAAGCATTTTCCCTTTTGGGACAATACTGTAATAACCATTTTAATATGAAATCATTCTTTTATAGAAAGAGTTGGATCAATTTCACTTGGTCCCTGCCACGTCAGCTGCAACCCCTTCATCCGCGTTCCTATTGGACGAAGCACAGTTCCGATTTATGCCGCGAAGCATAGTAACATTCCCCCCATAATCCGCAACCAGATATATGGATAGTGTTGGGCGGGCGCCTTCTTCCTCTTTCTCTCCCATCTGCGAAAGCCGAGGGAGAGCCAGCAACAAAATTCCAAAATCATTTCATTCATCAGGCTTCGGATCATGTGATTCGGATCAACTGTACCCAAATTTCTTTTAATTCATCGATAAAGGCCCAAGAGTTATTCGTAATCTTATTACCCTCTTCGATCTAACTTCAATTTCTCTTCTCGAGACGACATGACTAGGCGGTGCTCCCATTGCAGCCATAATGGCCACAACTCCAGGACCTGTCCTAACCGTGGAGTCAAGCTATTCGGAGTCCGATTGACTGATGGGTCGATCCGGAAGAGTGCTAGTATGGGCAATCTTAGCCACTACGCCGGTTCGAGTTCGGGGCCCCATCAGACCGGGGGTAACACTCCGGCTTCTCCCGGCGAGACACCTGATCACGGTGCGGCCGCAGACGGTTACGCCTCTGAGGACTTTGTACCTGGGTCGTCCTCAAGTTCACGTGAAAGAAAAAAGGGTATTCTTGTTTTATTTTCCCTCAATAAATGTTTTGTTCTCACCTTATTATTGTTTTCCCGTGCATTTTTGGACTCTGATTTTTGTATCATTTAACGCTCGTATTTATTCTGGTACAAAGGTAGATCAAATAAAATTTATAGCCAGAATTTTTTTTTTTTTTTTTGCTTTACTTTGTGTTGTTAATCTGTTAGTTCTTATTCACTATGGCGATGCTGCTTGTTTAATTTGCTTCTTCCTTAACGATATATTTCATTAGTAGTGAATACTCCGCGCTGCTGTCAGTTGGAGGACGACTAGACCCGACCGATATAGGTTAGCTTTGTTATATATTCATTCCATAAGAATGTATGTACAACATTCTTGACTGTATAATTTTCATAGTGGACAGTATTGGATGTTAGCGAATGAACCTGATATAGATGGTCATGTTCTTTATGGTCAAGATCCAGTATGGCTCACTATATATCACCAGCTCTTATGGCTCATGGTCATGGAAGATTTTAATAATCATTTTTTTAATGAGGCTGTCCAAGTTCTTACTGACCTGACCCGTCCAAATTCTCTTCAGCGGGAAAACAGCAGCCTTTCTTATCCACCAAGAGCCTACTTAGTTCCTTTTTCCTTCCAGTTTTTTTGCTTTGGAGTTAGATGCTAATTATGAATGTATGAAGTGCCTGTTTCGTGATTGTATTTGAGGTACATTGAGAATGCTGAATCAATTTGAAATGATTCATGATTTATGGTATATGGAAGAAGACGGACAGCAGTTAGTTCAGAGTTTTTTTTCTCATAACATTATTAAAGGTTGAGTAATGATACCATAATTTCGGCCACTAGCCAGGAATAGCTGAAAGTAAGAGCTGAGGTAGTTAGGTTCAGTAAGGCGTATATCTCATATCTTAGGAAGACCGTGTGGTTTGATCTTCTCCCTTGCTCTTGATGGAGTAGATGAAAGAGCTTATAAAATCCAAGTTCACTGCCGGGATGAGCATGGTGTATGTAGGACATTAGCTGAAGGGCCGAAAACTCTTGTGAAAGAACACTCCAGTTTTGTATAACTTTTAAGAATTTTCACATTGCACTTAATTCCCAAGATGCTTACAGAACATAGAATGATGTTGTGCTTAAGATCTTTTGGTGTTCAATCCATGATTTCATTTATGACCAGAAAGTTTTTACAATTTGTGCATATTGTATTTGTATGTGGATTTTCTTATTTTGGATATGCAGGTGTTCCATGGACTGAGGAGGAACATAGGATGTTTCTACTTGGGTTGCAGAAGCTAGGCAAAGGTGATTGGCGTGGAATTGCACGTAATTATGTTATATCAAGGACACCTACTCAAGTAGCCAGCCATGCTCAGAAATATTTCATTAGGCAAACCAATGTGTCTAGGCGAAAAAGACGTTCCAGCTTGTTTGATATTGCCGCAGAGGAAGTTAGTGCCCATATTTGCTCATGCTATTTGCAGTCCATTTCTTCAAGATGCATCTAATTGTGCCTGCTTAATTACGGCCGTTGATGATAATATTATCAGATTGCATTTTTTTGTCCAGCCTTTTGTTATGAAGAAATAAAATGCACAATCCATCAATGGCCATCCTAATTTGTGAAAATTCTCCACTTCCTTTCTTCTTCTAGTCTGGAGGAGGGATAGATGATTTGAGCTATTAATTGATTCACTCTACGTGAAGTAAAATGCTTTTGTTGATACTTCATATAATTTTTGCATTCTTGAGGTGGTTAGATAACTGTTGTTATATTTCCTAATGTTCTTCAATTCTGAGATTGATGATTAAAACTAACCTCTCTCACCCTTTTTTGGGGTTCAATCTCATTTTCTGGACAACTTATTTATGTCTCACGGTGTTGCAGCCAACCGACACGCCCATGGCAACACAAGACCTCCAGTCAGCTGATCAGCCAAATGCTGAAGCAGAATGCAATAACCCTTTGCCTGATCCTCCAGCCCTTGACGAAGAATATGAGTCCATGGATTCCACTAATTCAAATGATGGAGAGTCTGCCTCTTTGAAGCCGGACAGCACACAGTCACAAACACAGTCATCATACCCAGTGGTATATCCTGCATACTTCTCTCCGGTCTTCCCTTTCCCAATGCCCTATTGGTCAGGATACATGCCAGAACCCAGTAAGAAGGAGGAGACACATGAGGTGCTGAAGCCTACTGCGGTGCATTCTAAGAGCCCAATCAATGTTGATGAGCTGGTGGGTATGTCAAAACTGAGTTTAGGAGACTCTATTGGTGACTCTGGACCTTCCTCTCTGTCACTGAAACTCCTTCAAGGACCCTCGAGACAGTCGGCTTTTCATGCAACCCCGGCATGTGAGAATTCCGATGCAAATGGCAGTGTGATCCATGCGCTGTAAGTTGGAGACTGAAGGCTAGCTCAATTAGGTTGGGCATTGCCTTATTAATTATATCATATATATGTGGTTGTGAATTAACCTTAATAATTTCTGCCTTTGACAGTGTTTTAACTTAGCTTGTTTCCTTTGGCGGTAGGCAGTAGCAAATAGGGAAATTACTCGGATTCTATAAACTTTGTTATTTGTTTTATGTAAAGCAGATTGTGCAGAATGACAATCAAGTTCTAAGCTGTGTTTTCAAACTACCAGGAAGAAGAGTAGCATAATATGAAAATTCGCATTCATAATTGTTGAAAAGCTAAAACTGATCTCTTATACAAGTTGAAATCAAAAGAAATTGTCTCGTAGAGCTTTTAATCTTTTGATTTGCATGGAATTTTTTTTTTGGGGTGGCAGAATATTAAAATTTTTAATTCAAACTAAATGTCAATATCCATTCTTATCCTGGGTTGCTTAGCAAGTTGGGCCTGCTGGGTTTGTGCACTGGGCTCCTTAAGTTATGAAAATCTTGCTGAGCCACTTCCTTTACTCAGCTCTCCTTATTTAATGCAAGAGATTGATCCGCTTGAACAAATGGATTTTATCATGTCTTCTGTTTTGTCCTTTTGCAATTTTATGGCTCGGCCATGGATCCTCCTTTTCATGGCATTCGCTCTTCCGACCCAGTTAGGTTTTTGTTAGCTGCCCCTGCCAAGACTTGAATTTTCCGGGGTCAATAACAACCAACCCCAGGGCCTCACCTCTTGATTTTCTGACACCATCTCAATTGTGTAAAATTAAAAAAATTACTATAAAACTAATAGAATCAGAAACTTCTACCTTTGCTTTTTAATATAAGAGCTACTTAACTAATTTGAATAGATTAAAAAAGTCTGCTAAGTTAGTTATTTGTAACAAATATAAGTTGAATTTTCTAAAATATCTTTTGATTATCACTGGATGGAAACCTTTTTAATATATATAATCAATATGAATACATTAGAGAGGCAAACTATATTGAGATTTTTAATATATATAATAAATATAATTCCCAACTAGCTTTTATATTAAAGCTAATAGGTAATACATGGTAAGAACAAGAAGAAAAATTTCGGAAAGGATGAACCTTTAGGAGTTTTCTCATCCACCTTGATGTATGTGTGTGGGTGTGCGAAACTTTGATGCTAGCCTTTATTTATAGGCCATCAATTATTAAACACTAACACATGGATTGCATCTATCTTCAAATGATGATGTTAATTCCCAAAATAAAAAATTTATTAATGTATTTAGTATATATGAATAATCAGGTACTTAATAACTTGATTCATGAATGTGAGGAGGCATGAGATGGAATGATTCATATAAGTCAGTTATATAAATCTTGAAAGCTTATGAATATCTATACAATATTATAATAATTTTTAATAAAAAATATACTCTTATTTATGAATTATAAATAATATGCTTTATTTTAAATTTCGTTAGTCTAACACTTGAAGTTAAAGTATATGTATGGTGCTCTGAGTTTACATCATACTTCAGTTTAGTCTTTTAAATTTATGAAGCATATTTTCAGTTGCTTAATGGTAATGTGCTGAGCCTTATTAATGAAAAATACTAACTTTAAATAGTGCATTTACAATTAAATATTGACAAAGTATGTTTTAAATTTAATTCTTTAATATAATAAGTTCATATCCGATGGCATCTTCATTAGTTTTTTTTAAAGATAATTTTCAATACACAAACTTTAAATTAAAAATTAATATATTAACAGCAGAGTCACTACTTAATTTAAATTCACTAAATTAGCATTTTTCTATTAAAAAAATAAAGGCATTAATATTAACGGACAAAAAACGTACATTCATAGCTGTAAAAAAAAAACTAAAACTTGATATAAACTCAACACCCAATAATATTAGTGGTTTAGGTTTAATAAAAGAGACTAGTCTCTCACAACATAACGAATTCTCATGAGAATAAGTATCGATATTTAATACCTGATAATATTTTGAATAAGATTATTTCTAATAAAAAAATACATGTATTTAGCAAAACTAATAATAATATTGTTGGTGACTTCCCTGTTTGGAGGAGGCATTTGTGCCGCTGGGGCAACATTGCGACTGGCCATTACTCCCAGCCTCCCACTCACAACATGTAACCTCACACATACAGTGCATCCCAGTGAGCATGTGGCAGGCCCCCCCAATCTTCGTTGGCCTTCTGGCGCCACCATATTTGAGTGCTTCCGGAAATGGCCGGCTTCCACCCATCCGCTTTTGTTCGGTTTGTATTTTACTCGTTTGGTATTACTGGGCCAGTGGTTCTATAATATAAGAGTCCTTACAGAAGTGTTTTTTTTTTTTTTTTCATTGGCACCTAATATTGAGTCAGATTATTTTTCGGGCATAACAACTCGCTTAAACTAATCTAGATTGAGACATGACATGAACTATTAACGTTGGCGTCCCTGGCCCCTAAGATGCTGCGTTCCTACGTTTTGAATTCGGGACCCGTGGTTAAATTAGAACATTCCCAGCTAGTTAATCTAATCGTTAGGGTTCAGAAGATTATTCTTTTTAATAGTCTTAATGAATATAAAAATTTTTTTTGAGATATGCTCATATTTAATTATAGGTATTGAGAAAATAAAAATTAGTATAATATTAAAATTTAGTGTAATTAATAAAGATAATATTAAAAATCACATAAATTTTATAACAAATTTGATGCTTTTAACTAATCTTATTGATACATGTGGATTAATTAGAGGATTCTTATAATAAGGACCACAAAGAGTATTTACAAGTTTATATGTAGTATCATTTGAATTTAAGAAAACCCTTAATCATATTTAGTTGATCATAAAATTTAATAATTTTCATATTTTGTTCTTATTTAATATACTACATTCTATCTCAAAAATTAAAACTTAAAGTTATGATTTATAATTAGGACAAAAAATTTTACTGCATGCTCAATCCAAAAAATATATACTACCTCCAATTCTTAACATAAAACTAATGAGTACTTATTGTATGATTTCTCTAAAATAGTGTACCATTAGATTTTAGATAAGTTCAGATTTCAGACAATTTGGTTGGGAAAAAAATAACAAATATAATATTTTAAAATAGAGGATGTAGTATTATTTTAATAAATCTCTTCTAGAAAATAGAAACATATGAGTGGTTGTGAAAAATGGCCGACCATATAATTTTCAGGCTTCGTGATCTTTTAAACGTTTAGAAAAATAGAAAATGCTTACCACACAAACAAACGATCAATCAAAACATGTTCAGACCCGAAAAAGAAAAGAAAACGAACGATGAAATGAATCACGTGAAAAATGGATATATAATACAATAAGGTCAGAACCCAACAAAGTAATAATTTGACGGAATGAGCATGGAAATGGTGGGGTAGGTAGCTCATTGACTCGTTATCAAGATCCTTTTTTTCCTTCCGTAAAATGGAAAAGTCGAAGTACAGATAAGGGATTATTCATCCTATCTTTTCGAAAATCCCATCTTCAGAGCTAATCGCAGTCCTCCGAAGCCTGGGTGGTTGAACTTTCAATTGCCTTTACTGGCAAATTTGTGGTGTTTCTGTTAGGCTTTGTGGTTGATTCGTGTTCGAAAATGGAAGGTGTCGATTACTTGTCTCCTGAGAGGAACAATGCACAGTTCGATGTCGATGAGATGAAGATCGTCTGGGCCGGTTCTCGTGAGGCTTTTGAAGTTTCCGATAGAATTGCCCGCCTTGTTGCCAGCGATCCGGTGAGTTACTTCTACTGGAACCGGTTCGAGCCATCCCACTGAATTTGTTTCTTCTGAGTTGATTATGAGAGCAGATATTTCATGTTCTTGATACCCCCTGTTTTTCTCCCTCAGCAGTTGACTTGTCTTTCTGATGATTTTGCTTTGACATGTGGTGACCACAGTACGATAGTTAGACGTGAAAATGTTTTTGTCGACAAAATCAGCTTCTCTGTGGCGCACAAATAAATTCATGTTCAGAGTTTATGCTGCTCTGGAAGGTTATTGATAAGTTTAAAATGGAACTATGGAAAAATTAGAAGCCCGCCAGTTGTTGTTGAGACTTTTCTGCCGTTGGATAACTGCTCATAAGAACTGGTTCATGGCTATAAGCATTATGAAATTTCATCGATTTGTTAAGGTTACAAAAACTACTATGTAACACGAGCAAGTAGATTTTCTATTTTAATTTTAATGGAATATTTTTCCAATTAGCTTGGTTGGAAACAGTTTCTGTTTCCCCCCCTTCTGCGACAGTTTAGTAATAGATGGTGATCGTTGCCTATGCAACTTCCTAAAACCTTGATTGGTCGTTTGTCGTTTCCAGGCTTTCAGAAAGGATGATAGGACCATGCTGGGTAGAAAGGAATTATTCAAGAACACTTTACGGAAAACAGCTTATGCTTGGAAAAGGATCATTGAGCTCCGTCTTAATGGTGAGTTTTTCCCCCAGGATTCTTTGTATCCAGTTATTATTTTCATTTCTTCTATTGCGGGCGTTTTTTCCTTTTTCTATTTTTTGGGTGATATTTGTTGTCTTTTATGTTTCCTATTTGTCATACTTTATAACATTGTAATCATTATTCTTACAGAAGAGGAAGCTAAAAGACTTAGATCCTTTATTGATGAGCCTGCATTTACAGATCTTCATTGGGTAGAATTTTTTATTTTGGCTCTGATTGCCTTCCTGTTTCTGAAGTGGATGTCAATTCAGCTGCTTCAACTAAATTTTATTTATTCATACTCTCTGGCAGGGAATGTTTGTGCCAGCTATCAAAGGACAAGGCACTGATGAGCAGCAGCAAAAGTGGCTGCCTTTAGCTTATAAGATGCAAATAATCGGTTGTTATGCCCAGACGGAGCTTGGCCATGGATCCAATGTTCAAGGGCTTGAAACAACTGCAACCTTTGATCCCCAAACGGATGAGTTTGTCATTCATAGCCCCACATTGACTTCCTGCAAAGTGAGTAAAATGAGTGATGAGTCAGAGTTTTCTACCAATCATTTAGGAAGTAATAAATAAGTTTTTGCCAGCAGGAAGTAATAAATAATTTAGATAATACAATCTTTTTGTTTATTTATTTAATGCATTAACGAATGCATAACCAGAAAAAGTCCACTCTGGCCTTTTAAATGCATCCACTGCATGTATGTCGTTTTCAAAAGTTGTGTTTATAAAGATATCAAATATGATGACTTCTCTGAATCTGACTTAAACAGT